CGATCATGCTAAGCTTGCTAACTGTTCCACCCTCTGACTGCTGCAGGGGCGTGTCTTAGAGAGAGGCTTTTATACCAGAACACAGCCGCTGGGACGAAATCATGGAGAAGACACGTCACCGTGGAGAGCCGTTAACCAATATGCAAATTAGCCTGCAGTACCACTGCTCTACCCAAATGAGCAAGAAAAACACGTTTTTAGACCAAATATTACAGATTTGAACAAATACGCACAAAAACATCAAAATTAGCACAGGAACAGTACTATATAACATTTTAGACACATTCTAGACAGTTTATCAGCTAAAAAAAAAGTTAATTTTGGGGTAAGTTACTCTTTAAGTTTATTGTACATGCCTAACAGATGTTCCAGCAAAAATAGGAATTTTTCTCCTCCTGATTTGCACAGTTTCAAATAAGTTTTATTGTTTTAATGTGGTTAGTAAAAACATTTGTTGTGAGTTTAAAAGAAAGCAAAGCATGTATATTATCTCACCCCACACTTGTTTTTGTATTTTCTTGTTTATTTAGGCTTGTCAGCTCCTATTGCAGCAACAACAGACTCCACAGCAAATGCTGCAAAACCAGAGGAAGTTCCCACCTAATGTTCGTCAGCAGGCTGACCCTCAACAGGTACAAACATGCACACACTTGTACTAGGGCTGTGTATTGGCAAGAATTTGGCGATACGATACATATCATGACAGGGGGGTCACGATACGATATATCCTGATATATCCCGATATATTTCGATACTGTAAACAAGGTGATATATTGCAATATTTTTGGTCCAAAAATTCTATTAAATAAAAACCTCTTACTGGGAAAAAAAAACAAAAAAACGAAAAACCAAAATTCATTGTCTCAGAAAATTCTAATATTGCATAGATATACTTTTGATACATTTAGCTGTGTTCTGCTTTGTATGTGTTTTATTTGTTTCATATTTCATCCATGTTTTCATTTATTAGACTAAATTTGCCAATAAATAGTTTGAAAATATATTTTTTGCAGCTTTTCGTTTTTAAAATTAATGTACAATATGGTCACCCAACACTTAACAATAGCCTTTATATTGTCATAAAGTTCGGTAAACAGATGATATGAAGCTGCTGCACACAGAGTTTCTGGGATCAGCTGACCTGCATCCAGAACCTGATTTGTATAACTGTGGATCGAACAGCAGGGCAGGTCCTGAAAATAAACAGTAAATAAACGGAGAAGCTAAACAACACAGTTAAACCGTTATTGAAATAAACACAGCAGGATAAACTTAAAGTGTATGGACTTTGATGCGATCAGCCGGACATTAACCGTATTTCCATCAAGCCTTTTTGATACGTATTTAGAAGTGTCGCATTAAAAATGTGAAAAAAAAGTCGGATGTAAACAGCAAAATTGGGAAAAAAAATCCTCAATTCACTAAAAAGTTTTTACGCTCGCTTGAGCTTTGGATGATTCACAAAGTAGTTAATGCGCAAAACGGGAGATGGAAACACGTTTGCTGAATAAATTCTGACGTAGCGCATATTTACCTCACGTGATGTTCAGCTGTTTCCGCTTTCCTGCTTCGACCCGGATGGTAGCCCTGCATAGTTGCACGTGCCTTTCTGCTGCGTAGTTTAACGTTACGTTTATTTCCCTACGTCTCCTGGCAGCGTTAAACATAGC